CAGTGTGTGTGACTCAGCCAGAGGTCTGAGTCACTGAAGACCCACTGAAAGAACTATCGGGGGCCTCACAAGAGGTGGGTCCTACTCTGTTGTAAAAATTGAAAAAAAAGCAGATTCACACTCGACCAGAAAGGGAGCACCCATGAGAGGTGGGTGCTACCCCATTCAAAAATGAATGATTGCAGGCACTATCAGCCAGAGAGGGGGGTGCTTGTGAGAGGTAGGTGCCAATGTCATTACAAGGGGTAAACAACACTTCCTTATTCACTTCCTCCACACCATTCATGATTTTATAGAACTCTATCATAGAATCATAGAATATCAGGGTTGGAAGGGACCTCTGGAGGTCACCTAGTCCATCCACCTGTTCAAAGCAGGACCAATCCCCAACTAAATCATCCCAGCCAGGGCTGTGTCAAGCCTGACCTTAAAAACTTCTAAGGAAGGAGATTCCACCACCTCCCTAGGTAACGCATTCCGGTGCTTCACCACCCTCCTAGTGAAAAAGTTTTTCCTAATATCCAACCTAAACCTCCCCCACTGCAACATGAGACCAATACTCCTCGTTCTGTCATCTGCTACCACTGAAAACAGTCTAGATCCATCCTCTTTGGAACCCCCTTTCAGGTAGTTGAAAGCAGCTATCAAATCCCCACCCATTCTTCTCTTCCGCAGACTAAACAATCCCAGTTCCCTAAGCCTCTCCTCATAAGTCATGTGCTCCAGCCCCCTAATAATTTTTGTTGCCCTCCGCTGGATGTTTTCCAATTTTTCCATATCCTTCTTGTAGTGTGGTGCCCAAAACCGGACACAGTACTCCAAATGAGGCCTCGCCAATGTTGAATAGAGGGGAACGATCACGTCCCTCGATCTGCTGGCAATGCCCCTACTTATACATCCCAAAATAGCATTGGCCTTCTTGGCAACAAGGGCACACTGCTGACTCATATCCAGCTTCTCGTCCACTGTAACCCCTAGGTCCTTTTCTGCAGAACTGCTGCCTAGCCATTTGGTCCCTCGTCTATAGCAATGCATGGGATTCTTCCGTCCTAAGTGCAGGACTCCACACTTGTCCTTGTTGAACCTCATCAGATTTCTTTTGGACCAATCCTCTAATTTGTCTAGGGCCCTCTGTATCCTATCCCTACCCTCCAGCATATCTACCTCTCCTCCCAGTTTAGCGTCATCTGCAAACTTGCTGAGGGTGTAATCCACACCATCCTCCAGATCATTAATGAAGATACTGAACAAAACCGGCCCGAGGACTGACCCTTGGAGCACTCCACTTGATACAGGCTGCCAACTAGACATGGAGCCATTGATCACTACCCGTTGAGCCCGACAATCTAGCCAGCTTTCTATCCACCTTATAGTCCATTCATCCAGTCCATACTTCTTTAACTTGCTGGCAAGAATACTGTAGGAGACCTTATCAAAAGCTTTGCTGAAGTCAAGGACTAACATGTCCACTGCTTTCCCCTCATCCACAGAGCCAGTTATCTTGTCACAGAAGGCAATTAGATTAGTCAGGCATGACTTGCACTTGGTGAATCCATGCTGATTGTTCCTGATCACTTTCCTCTCGTCTAAGTGCTTCAGAACTGATTGCTTGAGAACCTGCTCCATGATTTTTCCAGGGACTGAGGTGAGGCTGACTAGCCTATAGTTCCCTGGATCCTCCTCCTTCCCTTTTTTAAAGATGGGCACTACATTAGCCTTTTTCCAGTCGTCCAGGACCTCCCCTGATCACCATGAGTTTTCAAAGATAATGGCCAATAGCTCTGCAATCACATCCGCCAACTCCTTTAGCACTCTCTGATGCAGCGCATCCGGCCCCATGGACTTGTGCTCGTCCAGCTTTTCTAAACAGTCCCGAACCACTTCTTTCTCCACAGAGGGCTGGTCACCTCCTCCCCATGCTGTGTTGCCCAGTGCAGTAGTCTGGGAGCTGACCTTGTTTGTGAAGACAGAGGCAAAAAAAGCATTGAGTACATTAGCTTTTTCCACATCCTCTGTCACTAGGTTGCCTCCATCATATCCCCTCTTAACTGCTTTTTTCTTAGATGAACAATCCCAGTCTTAATCTCTCATCCTACGCAAACTGATCCATATCCCAACACATTAGTTTGCCTTTCTGTGTACTTTTTCCAATTCTAATACATCTTTTCTGAGATGGGGCCACCGGAACTACATGTAGTATTCAAGATGTGGGTGTACCATGGATTTATATAGAAGCAATATTTTCTGTCTTATTGTCTATCCCTTTCCTAATGGTTCCTAACAATGCTAGCATTTTGGCTGCCGCTGCAGACTGACCAGATTTTTAGAGAACTATTCACGGTGACTCCAAAATCTCCTTCTTGGGTTCCAAATTATCTGTTACCACTCATCATTTTATATATATATAGTTGGGATTATGTTTTCCAATGTGCATTACTTTGCAGTTAACAACACTGAATTTCATCTGACATTTTGTTGCCCAGTCACACAGTCTTGTGAGATCCCTTTGTAACTTGTTGCAGTCAGCTTTGGACCTAACCGTCTTGAGTAATTTTGTATTGTCCGCAAACTTTACCACCCTGTGAGGCTTGCATTCATAGTGTGTATACAAGGATCTGGAGTGAAAATTGGGTCAGCTTTCTGCATGTTGTTTGTATATAACTGCCAACAAAGGCACATTCAGATATAACCTGAGAATAACAAATCATTTTGCATTGTATTGGGTTCATGATTCTGTATCCTCAGAAGACATTTCTGCAGGTGCATTTTAATAAACCTATCCAGGAAATGAAGCCGGTCATGGCACCAGCAATCCAAACAAGGCACCAGCAAACCACTGGAGATAGAGACCTATAGATGATCATTGCCAGGAAATTACTGATGCAATGAATTTTTGGCTCTTGGCAAATCTTTACCATAATAAAACGGTAACCAAAGCCATGCTTGTTTTGACCCCTGGGTGAGCAAGTCTCCGCATTAAGTTTGAAAAATATTATTGATTTTGAACTGGTGGATATGAATTCTTTCCTGCATTTGTCCATGTATAAATAGATCTGTTTCTCTGGATAGGGCACCGACTGGCTTTTTTATAAGGATATGTCAACAACAAGAGTAACTGTGCAGTAAACTAGGGTGTAAATCTGCAGTGCTCTAGCCTGCTTTGGACTAACAGGCTATGTGGACCCTGCTACCACACACTAACATTCCATAGTGTGCTGTAATCAATACTTCCTCATAGGTCGTGTTTTCTAGATCTTGAATAATTTTTGTTGCACTCTGGATTTTCTCCAATTTGTTCACATCTTTCCCAAAGTGTGGTGCCCAGAACTGGACACAGTACTCTAACTGAGGCTTTATCAGTGCTGAGTAGAGTGATTACTTCTCGTGTCTTGCTTACAACACTCTGGTAACACATTCTGGAATTAGATTCTTTTTTTGCAAAACTATTACATTGTTGACTCATATTTAGTTTTGTGATCCACTATAACCCTGAGATCCTTTTCTGCAATACTCCTTCCTAGGCAGACATTTCCCCATTTTTGTATTTGTGCAATTGAGTATTCCTTCCTAAGTACTTTGCATTTGTCCTTATTGAATTTTGTCCTATTTATTTCTGACAATTTCTCTAGTTTGTCAAGATCATTTTCAATTCTAATACTGTTCTCCAAGCACTTCCTCTCCCAGCTTGGTACCATTCATGGGGAGTGGAATCCTCATGCGACTCTGATCTGGTCACAGACTGCCTGAAGTGCTCCTTATGCTTTAATATAGAGCCAGCCTGTGGAGCAAGAGTAGAGTGGAGAGAGACTCTTTCATAATCCTGAGCCCTTTTCTTTGACAGGGCAAGGATTTATTGCTGACATGTAGAAGGCACAAATCACATTCTGTTGGTGCTTGAAATCTGAGCCCCTTTCCTTAGAGTCAGGGTCCTTGGGCTGTATGCCAGATAGACCCAATTCCCATTAACTGTAGCCTGAGGGAGTGCTTCACAGAATAGATGGGTTCTCTACATGCCTGGAGTGACATGTCATAGGGCAAGGGGCAGAGCAGTGTTACAGAGCACTGTGAGAGCCTCTGCATAGGAGAATGGCTCTAGCAAACACTCCCTTATATGGAGGGGTTATGAACTGCTGCCTTGCAAATATGATGCTTGCTTTTGCATTTTTGGGACCAAGTCTCGGGTTTGCATAACTCACTCCTGAGCATCATGACAACCCCCAAATTTACAGTGAGAGGAAGCAGAGGTCTTTAGAAGCCCTACTTTTTTTCCCTATGGAGCTGAGGACCCCCTTCAGTATCCAGAGAGTAGTCAGAAAATCTTCCCCCTCCAACCTGAGTCTGTTGTGTGTCTTACCCCAAGCTGACTGGATAGGATCCTTCTCATCCTTATACTTTCTCCCTGAAATGTTCAGATGCTCCTGAGCTTTTCTGTAATGGAGTTAAGGCTCTTTGGGGAAGAAGGGATTCAACATGCCGGTCCAACACTCTGTCCTTTCACTGTGAGAGTTGGCTGTAATTCACCCTCTGTAGAGCCTGTAAATACTGCCTCACACAGGCAACACTTTAGCCCAGTGTTTGCAGAACAGCTCCACCATCCCAGAGTGGGGGCAGAGAAATCCTGGAGAGGAGGCACTGCAGTGGCGGGTCCAAGTGGTTGAAACAAACATGCTATCAAATAACCTGATCGGGGGGCGGGGGTTGCGGGGAGGAGGAGGAAAGATTATAAGTCTTTACCATATGAAAATGAATAAAAATTAAAGTTATAAAACAAAATGATGGGGAGAAACCAAACCACCAACTTGTTCCTCTGCTGGAGACAGAAAATCTGGTGGCCTGAGCTGAAGGCATGGCTTAGTGCTGGTGCCTCAAGCAACAATGCTGGACCTCCTCCAAATTACACAGGTGAGGGCATTATCCCATTTGTGAGGACTGAAGCTATGCAACAGGAAATATGCTTATTTAATTGCAACACAGAAAAATATATTCCTAAAATCCATTACCTTGTTTTTTGGAGGTAAATTAGTGTGAAGAATCGGTATTCCTGTGTGCTGTAATGTGTCTCTGCAGTTGGTCTCCTCAGTTATAGGTCTAACGGGTATTAAAGAACCAGGGACTGGTGGTCTTATAATTGGTGGAAATCTAGGTGCTGGGTCAAGCTGCAGGTGCAGTAAAGGAATTCCAGCTGAATGCTGGTAAGTTCCATAGAAGGAAGCATGCTGAGCACTCCGTGGCTTCTCTGCACTCACATTTGTAGGAAGGTGCTGCAGAGGTGCAAAATTTTGCTCTCCCTCATATTGATCCAGATTAAGTAGTTTAGGAGGCCTCTTGCTTTCAGCTTCTGCCCACCTCTTCTTTTCCTCATATACTTGCCTCATCATTTCAGGATCATATTTATTCAAATTCAAGTGTGTCATTGAAATAGTCTTGTCTCCTAGCATACATGACAGCGGAGGGTTCTGTAAAGAATTAGATGGATCCCAAACTACCCTTGGTTGGGGGAGTGACCCGATGAAAGCTTGTGAAACTTTTAATGGATATAAATTGAGTGGTTTTAAATGATCAGATTCAAGTTTAAGCAAAGGAAAGCCATTTTCATAATTTAAGGTTTTTGCAACTGGGATAAGTTTGGGTGTCTTCTGGATATCTAGGGAATGAGATAACAGATGAAGTGCTGTGGCTGGAGCTGAAGGAAGCAAGTCCTGAGATGCTGGAATAAATTCTGTTCCATTGGACTGGCTCTCTGATAGGCTTAAAGAAATATTCACATCTGGATGATTCTAAATGAAAAAAGAACACACAATAGTACTTTAAACTATGTATAAGATCACAATAAATCGTTACTAAATGTGGTCTCTATTACTTGGTAATTCTGTCTAATGCAATTACTACAAGAAAGTTCTCTAATTTTTCAAATGGAATAACATCTGATATGCTTTTTCTTAAAAAGTAATGCTTGGTTTTACCTACATGTATACTTTCTTTGCTGCTTTGATCATTTAGGATATTTCTTTCCTGAGAAGGAGAGCTGCTCTTCTTATTAGACTTTCCAGCATTTTCTTTAGTGGGCAGCTGAGTCTCAGGAGAAATGTCTGCAGACTGTACAGGCAGGGATGTGTCAGCACCACTGCCTCTTACAGTGTGTGAAGCCTGGCTTCCTCCCAACTGAATAGCCTGAGACTGCTGCAGAAGATGCTGCATATTTGGCAAGCTGGCAAAGGATGATCCCACCATTTGCATTAAGTTCAGAAAGTTGACTTGCTGCAGCTAGAATGTAAACAAAAATAAAGCTAACATTATAAAAGTTGCTTAAATGGGTCTTGGCCAAAATCCTTAGTTAAAACTTTTTACAGACCTATAGATTATCCTAAAATTTATAGATAATCCTATTAAAATAGATAGCAACAGAAACAACATCCCAATGTCTCAATAACAAGTACACTAAATCGATATTTCTTTCGTGATACAATACGCTATGTGAAATAATAATGTTATCCTACAACAACATATAGTCCTTTGCATTCTTTATTTCAAAGCAAAGAAATCTAAACCTGAATAATACCAGGATGGAATAGTTTCAAATGTACCAGCATTAACTCATTAACATTTTAACTATACAGTTACTGTTTGTTCATAATGTCCCCTAATTTATATGAATAAAGGACATTAAGAGAAAGTTAACAGTTAGTCCTCCTAAAAATATAATTGTTCAAACTGTACTGCTCCTCAAATTCACAAACCTTCTGATTAAGAAGTCAAAAGGTCATGAATTATGCCTAAAATAATTGGTTTCTACCTTCAGTTACCTTTAACCCAGAAATTTGCATAAAAGCATCATAGAATAACCTTGAAAGCAATCATTTTTCATATTGCTTGTTTTTTTAAAATTGAACAGTTTAATCTGTGTTTCATTATTTTTAATAATGAGAGATTCTTACCTGAACTAATTTAAACATTTCATCTTGGAGCATCTGTCTGACAGCTTCTGAAACGTTCAATGGCTCTGATATCTGCTCTCCATCCTGGACCTCTTGCTTCTTTGAACACACCGGACGATTATAGGGAACACTTGATACACCAGTGAAAGAAGGTTGATCATCACATGCACAAATCTCTATGTTACTTGAAGTACTGGGAATAAAAATAGTAATTTTTAGACACTTTCCAAAAGATATGGATTCTGAACACTGAACCTGATGATGAGAATCAGAGTGAAGTAAATGTATCAAAACTTTACAACTGGTAAGTTAAAATGCTAAATGAAAAATGATACCCATTAGCAAAAATAAGAGACACTTTGTTTTAGGTTTTCAGTGTGCATTCATCCCCTCTGGAAATTTGAATTTTTTTTTTTTTAAAACAAAATCAATTTTCTGGAGGAAAAAAGTAAAAAGACACATTTTTTAAAATTAGAACCATTTTTTCCCCTCTCTAATGGGTAGTAGATTTCTGGCCAGACCTGCTTAGATTCTGTGATCTCACAGGATCGCAGCACAAAGTGGTGTGGCTGTAGGTCTTATACCACAATGTACAGTAAACGCAAACATTATACATTTACTGCAAAGAAACACTGAACAGAATATTAAGACTGCAGATTTAATAGGAATAATCCATAATTTACTACATAATGCATTACAGTTTCTCTTACGTAGGAGCATTTGCATTCATTTCTAAACAGAATGAATGAGGAATGGTGCTGGAAACAGCCTCAGCCATACTGTAAAGAAAGACAAAAATATAAGTTTATTATAAATGTTTCAACCTTTAATATGTTGCATATTGTTTTTTTAGTTATATGGAACATTTTTGAAAGATTTTGTATGTAAAATACAAGCTTGTTTACCTAATATGCATGTAAATTTAATCCAAGACATACTGAATTGAGTACCTTCTATCACTGTATAACACTGCAGCTGAGTACACAATTGTTGATTGTTTATGCTTGGTCTCCATAGCAATCAGTAACTGACAAACAACATGGTTGAATAGATTTTGATTATTCACACAAAATACTAGGCAACAGAAAGGCTGAGGACTGATTTGACTTGGCAAAACAAAGGAAAATCCTTAAATGTGAAAATCCTTAAAATCCCACATTTAAGGGACACTGTGAACATGATTGAAATGTGCATTTCTAAAAGGAAAAGTTAAGTCACGCAGCAACTCCTGAGGATAGTTTTTATATGCCCTATTTTACAAAAAGGAAAAATTATACTGCCTTAAAATGGTAATGAAATACTAATGAAGACTTTATAAAGCTATGTAGATTTTAAAGGAAAATCTATTCGACATTGGTGAGGCCTCATCTGGAGTACTGTGTCCAGTTTTGGGCCCCACACTTCAAGAAGGATGTGGATAAATTGGAGAGAGTCCAGCGAAGGGCAACAAAAATGATTAGGGGTCTGGAACACATGACTTATGAGGAGAGGCTGAGGGAGCTGGGATTGTTTAGCCTGCAGAAGAGAAGAATGAGGGGGGGATTTGATAGCTGCTTTCAACTACCTGAAAGGAGGTTCCAAAGAGGATGGCTCTAGACTGTTCTCAATGGTAGCAGATGACAGAACGAGGAGTAATGGTCTCAAGTTGCAGTGGGGGAGGTTTAGATTGGATATTAGGAAAAACTTTTTCACTAAGAGGGTGGTGAAACACTGGAATGAGTTACCTAGGGAGGTGGTAGAATCTCCTTCCTTAGAGGTTTTTAAGGTCAGGCTTGACAAAGCCCTGGCTGGGATGATTTAACTGGGAATTGGTCCTGCTTCGAGCAGGGGGGTTGGACTAGATGACCTTCAGGGGTCCCTTCCAACCCTGATATTCTATGATTCTATGAAAGACTACAACAAACTACACATATTGAGGACGTTTTATCTATATATATAATTTAGTATTATTACAATATAATTACATAGAATCATAGAACTGGAAGGGAACTCAAGAGGTCATCTAGTCCAGTCCCCTGCACTCAAGGCAGGACTAAGTATTATCTTGACCAGTGGTTCTTAACCTTCACTGCAGCCGGCACCCCTTTGGTTCTCAAAATATGTTATCAAAAATTGTTGAAGTAGGTCAGTTCTTTAAACCTAGATATATTTTTGTTTGTATATTATGGTAATCATTAACAAAATCTATAATGTTAATAAATACATAGGTTTGATGAAACAAAGAAGTTGTACTTACGTCCCTGTGCTTAATTTGTGTTTTCGATGATTTACCTTCTAAAAAAACCTGGCATGTCTCGCACCCCCAGGGAAGAACCACTGATCTAGACCATCCCTGACAGATGTTTGTCCAAACTGCTCGTAAAAATCTCCAATGATGGAGACTCCACAACCTCCCTAGGCAATTTATTCCAGTGCTTAGCCACTCTGACAGTTAGGAAGTTCTTCCTACTGTCCAACCTAAACTGCCCTTGCTGCAATTTAAGCCCATTGCTTCTTGTCCTATCCTCAGAAGTTAAGAACAATAATTTTTCCTCTCTCCTCCTTGAAACAATCTTTTATGTACTTGAAAACTTACGTCCCCTCTCAGTCTTCTCTTCTCAAAACTAAACAAACCCAATTTTTTCAATCTTCCCTCATAGGTCATGTTTTCTACACCTTTAATCATTTTTGTTGCTCTACTCTGGACTGTCTCCAATTTGTCCACATCTTTCCTGAAATGTGGCAACCAGAACTGAACACAATACTCCAGCTGAGGCTAATCAGTGCGGAGTAGAGTGGAAGAATTACTTCTCATGTCTTGCTTACAATACTCCTGCTAATAGATCCCAGAATGATGTTTGCCTTCTTTTGCAAGAGTGTGACTCTGTTGACACATAATTAGCTTGTGATCCACTATGACCCCCAGATCCCTTTCTGCAGTACTCCTTTCTAGGCAGTCCATTCCCACTTTATGTGTGTGCAATTGATTATTCCTTCCTAAGTGGAGAACTTTGCATTTGTCTTTAAATTTCATCCTATTTACTTCAGACCATTTCTTCAGTTTGTCCAGATCATTTTTATTTTTAATCCTATCCTCCAAAGCACTTGCAACCCCTCCCAGCTTGGTATCATCCACAAACTTTATAAGTATACTCTCTATGCCATTATCTAAATCATTGATGTAAGAGAGTGGTATGATTGCTCAGAGCTCCAGTATGAAACTGGAGAAAAGCCTGTTGAGAGTCTTTGGGTTATGTTTATAAGGGAGAGCAACAAGGGTGATGTCAAGGTGGACGTGTGCTATAGACCACCGGACCAGGAGGATGAGGTAAACGAGGATTTCTTCAGACAATTAACTGAAGTTTCCAGAGCACAGGCCCTGGTTCTAATGGGGGACTTCAATCACCCTGACATCTGCTGGAAGAGCAATACAGCAGTGCACAGACAATCCAGGAAGTTTTTGGAGAGTGTTGGGGACAACTTCCTGGTGCAACTACTGGAGGAACCAACCAGGGGCCAGTCTCCTCTTGACCTCCTGCTTACAAACAGTGAAGAATTGGTATGGGAAGTAGAAGTGGGTCGCAACCAAGGCAGCAGTGACCATGAAATGGTTGAGTTCAGGATCCTCACAAAACGAAGAAAGGAGAGTAGCAAAATACAGACCCTGGACTTCAGAAAAGCAGATTTTGACTCTCTCAGGGAACTGATGGGCAGGATCCTCTGGGAGGCTAATATGAGGGGAAAAGGAGTCCAGGAAAGCTGGCTGTATTTTAAAGAAGCCTTATTGAGGGTGCAGGAACAAGCCATCCCGATGTGGAGAAAGATCAACAAATATAGCAGGCAACCAGCTTGGCTTAACAGTGAAATCTTCGGTGAGCTTAAACACAAAAAGGAAGCTTACAAGAAGTGGAAACTTGGACAGATGACTAGGAAGGAGTACAAAAATATGGTTTGAGCATGCAGGGGTGTAATCAGGAAGGCCAAAACACAACTGGAGTTGCAGCTAGCAAGGGATGTGAAGGGTAACAAGAATGGCTTCTATAGGTTTGTTAGCAACAAGAAAAAGGTCAGGGAAAATGTGGGACCCTTAATGAATGGGGGAGGCAACCTAGTGACAGATGATGTGGAAAAACCTGAAGTACTCAATGGATTTTTTTGCCTCAGTCTTCACAGACAAGGGCAGCTCCCACACTGCTGTCCTGGGCAGCACAGTATGGGGAGGAGGAGAGCAGCCCTCAGTGGTGAACGAACAGGTTAAAGACTATTTAGAAAAGCTGGACATGCACAAGTCCATGGGTCCAGATCTAATGCATCCAAGGGTGCTGAGGGAGTTGGCTGATGTGATAGCAGAGCCATTGGCCATTATCTTTGAAAACTTATGGCGCTCGGGGGAAGGTCCCGAGTGATTGGAAAAAGGCAAATATAGTGCCCATCTTTAAAAAAGGGAAGAAGGAGAACCCAGAGAACTACAGACCCGTCAGTCTCACCTCAGTCCCTGGAAAAATCATGGAGCAGGTCCTCAAAGAAACCATTTTGAAACACTTGGAAGAGAGCAAGGTGATCAGGAACAGTCAATATGGATTCACCAAGGGCAATTCATGCCTGACCAACCTCATTGCCTTCTATGACGAGATAACTAGCTCTGTGGATATGGGGAAAGCGGTGGACGTGATATATCTTGACTTCAGCAAAGCTTTTGATACGGTCTCCCACAATATTCATCACAGCAAGTTAAAAAAGTATGGATTGGATGAATGGACTATAAGGTGGATAGAAAGCTGGCTAGATTGTTGGGCTCAATGGGTAGTGATCAACGGCTCAATGTCTAGTTGGCAGCCGGTATCAAGCAGAGTACCCCGGGGTCAGACCTGGGTCCGGTTTTGTTTAACATCTTCATTAATGATCTGGAGGATGGGACGGATTGCACCCTCCGCAAGTTCGCAGATGACACTGAACTGGGGGGAGAGGTAGATACGCTGGAGGGTAAGGATAGGGTCCAGAGTGACCTAGACAAATTGGAGGATTGGGCCTAAAGAAATCTGATGAGGTTCAACAAGGACAAGTCCAGAGTTCTGCACTTAGGATGGAAGAATCCCATGCACTGCCACAAGCTGGGGGCTGACTGGCTAAGCAGCAGTTCTGTAGAAAAGGACCTGGGGATTACAGTGGATGAGAAGCTGGATATGAGTCAGCAGTCTACCCTTGTTGCCAAGAAGGCTAAAGGCATACTGGGCTGCATTAGTAGCAGCATTGCCAGCAGATCAAGGGAAGTGATTATTCCCCTTTATTCGGCACTGGTGCATCCAGTTTTGGGTCCCCACTACAGAAAAGATGTAGACTAATTGGAGAGAGTCCAGTGGAGGGCAACAAAAATTATCAGGCAGTTGGGGCATATGATTTACGAGGAGAGGCTGGGCTTATTTAGTCTGCAGAAGAGAAGAGTGAGAGGAGATTTGATAGCAGCCTTCAATTACCTGAAGGGGGGTTCCAAAGAGGATGGAGCTTGGCTGTTCTCAGAGGTGACAGATGATAGAACAAAGAGGAAAGGTCTCAAGTTGCAGTGGGGGAGGTCTAGGGTGGATATTAGGAACAACTATTTCACTAGGAGAGTGGTGAAGCACTACAATGGCTTACCCAGGGAGGGGGTGGAATCTCCACCCTTAAAAGGTTTTTAAGGCCCGGCTTGACAAAGTCCTGTCTGGGATGATTTAGTTGGAGTGGTCCAGCTTTGAGCAGGGGGTTGGACTAGATGACCTCCTGAGGTCTCTTCCAACCTAATCTATGATTCTATTATTAATGAAGATATTGAACAGAACCAGAACCAGACCCAGAACCGATCTCTGCGGGACCCCACGTGTTATGCCCTTCCAGCATGCCTGTGAACCACTGATGATTACTCTCTGGGAACAATTTTCCAACCAGTTACGCACCCACCTTATAGTATCTCCATCTAGGCTGTATTTCCCTAGTTTGTTTATGAGAAGGTCATGCGAGACAGTATCAAAAGCGTTACTAAAGTCAAGATATACCACATCTACTGCTTCCCCCCATCGACAAAGCTTGTTACCCTGTCAAAGAAAGCTATCAGGTTGGTTTGACACAATTTGTTCTTGACAAATCCACGCTGACGGTTACTTATCACCTCATTATCTTCTCAGTGTTTGCAAATTGATTGCTTAATTATTTGCTCCATTATCTTTCTGGGTACAGAAGTTAAGCTGACTGGTCTGTCATTTCCCAGGTTGTCCTTATTTCTCTTTTTATAGATGGGAACTATATTTTCCCTTTTCCAGTCTTCTGGAACGTCTTCAGTCTTCCATGACTTTTCAAAGATAATTGCTAATGGCTTGGATATCTCCTCAGTCAGCTCCTTGAGTATTCTAGGATGCATTTTATCAGGCCCTGGTGATTTGAAGACATCTAACTTTGTCTAAGTAATTTTTTACTTCTTTTTCCCTATTTTAGACTCTGATCCTACCTCATTTTCGCTAGCATTCACTATGTTAGGTGTCCAAACGCCACCAACCTTCTTGGTGAAAATCGAAACAAAGAAGTCATTCAGCACCTCTGCCATTTCCACATTTTCTCTTATTTTCTTTCTCCCATCATTGAGTAATGGGCCTACTCTGTCCTTGGCCTTCCTCTGGCTTCTAATGTGTTTGTAGAATGTGCTTGTTACTCTTTATGTCCCTAGCTAGTTTGATTCAGTTCACATGCCATCGTAACTGGTAAGACATTGTCTGGATTTCTTGAAATCCAGGTGAAGATTTTAAATAATTAATGATAAAGGAAGTAGTCTCAAACAGGGAAACAGATTGGAGGGAATGACTGGTACAAGTTTGCCAGTTTGAAAGGAGTTGAGCTGCTCTCCTCCGATCATCAAGAAAAATATCAGACCAGCAGTTGGGGATCCAGATTCCAGACAGCGAACGTGAAAAAAAAAACACGCAGAAAAATACAAATATCTTTCTTTGAGAAACTCACAATTGAATCACACAAGTAAGCCACATAAGTTATCAATTCAAACATAAGACCACGAGAGACACTCAAGAGATGGTCTATGCAGAGTTCCTGTAATTCTTTATATGGTTTTTCATTGAAAAGACAAATGCTTCAACAACTTTAAAAATGTTTTTAATTAATATAAGGAAATGGGGGTTCTCTGTAAAAATCCTGAAATAATGTATTGAAGCGACTTGATTGTATTCTTCAATTACTGAAGAACACATTTGCTTTGTTCTTAAGATAAACACTCAGTTGTAGATACCAAGCTTCTCATGGCCAACCCTGCAATAATACACTAGCACGCACCAGAAATGGAAGGGGGGCTGGAATTTAGCTTCAAACTATAAGTATGTTGTTATGACCAAGAACAAATCTTTTTTTAATTAAGAATAATACTCTCTCTTTATAAATTTAACAAGGTAGTAATAAACTAATTCTTTTGAAATACTAATGATATCAATTTCTCTTACCCATTTTGTTTGGCTTTTTTTTCTTCTAACTTTTCCATCATGGGTTCTTCCCATGGAAATTCTATATCTAGAGTGGAGATATGCTGCAATTTAAAAAGATGCATATGAATATGTATATATTTGCTTCAGCATACTTCTGCCTAAATAGATTATTATGAAAATCCTAGACTGTTTCTGATTAATCATCCATGTGGTCAAATTCAGATTATTTTTTGTAATAATCCAAACATCCTAGTTTTTGCATAGCTACAGAACTATAGAAAATGCAAGGAGGTGTCCTAATGACTTCTTTAACTAAATTTAATCATATCTATCATGAGTTTTCAACCATTTCTAAAATTCAGTTCACTAGATTGCCATAGAATCAGGCCTGTGCAGCAGTATCACCTTGCTAATCAGGCATCCACCTATTACTATTCCCCTTGGTAGCATGGAAACAAAACAATTACAAACAAGCAAAAAAACAAAAAATAAACAAACAAAATGATTACAAGTTAAAAGGACTGACCCTATGAATAATCATTTCCAGGAGTAGCAAAGCCCAGGATTTTGCACCAGGCACAAGGGTCCAACCCTAGCAAGCCACATGGCAGAATTGAGGACAATAGTACATATTTTTAATCCTGTTCGTTGCATTGGTTCTAAAGTGCTACATGAAGGTAAACCAGATTCTATTCTGATTCACACATCAGCAAAAGAATTCTTGACCAATTTCCTAGTACTGAATCTTTGATACTGGTGGTGATCAGTGTTCCCTCTAATTTTTCCCACCCATGCGCGGAATGAATTTTGTTATATGCACCAATATGGAGGTGATATGTGACACATCAGTTTCATATTGGTGCACATAACAAAAATAATGTGGTGGGGGTGGGGCTGAGGGCTTTGGAGTGTGGGAGCGGGCTCAGGGCTGGGGCAGAGATTTGGGGTGCAGAGGTTTGAGGGCTCCAGCTGGGGGTGTGGGCTCTGGGTATGAGCGGTTTGGGGGCAGGAGGGTGCTCCGGGGCTATGGCAGGGAGAGAGGACTTCACCCCCCCTCCACCCCTCAGCTCTCTCCCCCCACGGCAGCTCCAGGGCTGGGGCTGCAGGATAGGTGCCCCTTCCCTGGTCCCTGAGGGGTGCCCAAGCCAAGGCTGGGTCTGGGTCTGCGCCCGCGCCGCACTTAGGTCTGTGCTCCACCGCCCTGGCCGCATCTGCAACCAGGCTGGACCGCAACTGGGGCCACACTCAGCTGGGCCACACCCTGGCTGCAGCTGGGTTTGGGCCGGGCTGCCACAGCAGAGCCGGGCTGCAGCGGAGTTGGGGCCAGCAGAAGGCCACGCCACCCCAGCCGCGGCAGGTTGGGGACTGGGCTAGGTTGGGACTCGGGGAGGGACGGGTTCCCTAAACACCTGCGTGGCGCAAAATAGGCTGCTGTGCAGCCATGCAGCTTACAGCGAATTTAGGTGATACATGAGCCAGAAAAAAAATAGAGCTTATTTACAGATCCCACGTTAAGTTTTCAAAGTGGAAGTAAGAAACGTATCTGTGTACTTGTAAACTGAATAAAACTGATTTGAAGTCATTACATAATCGCTCTGGCTACTTAAAAGACAACATCATGTATTATAAGAACATAAGAATGGTCATACTGGGTCAGACCAATAGTCTGTCTAAACCAGTAATCTGTCTTCCAACAGTGACTGGTGCCAGATGCTTCAGAGGAAATGAAAACAACAGGGCAATTATTGAGTAATTCATCCTCTGTTGTCCAGTCCCGGTTTCTGGCAGTCAGAGGCTTAGGGACACTCAGAGCATGTGCCCCTAGCCATCCTGACTAATAGCCATTGATAGACCTATCCTCCATGAATTTATCCAATTAGTTTTTGAATCCAGTTGCACCTTTGGCTTTCACATCTCCTGGAAATGAGTTTGAGGTGACTGTGCATTGAGAGAAGTAGTAGTTCATTATTTTTGTTTTAAACCTGCTGCCTATTAATTTCATTGGGTGACGCCTGGTTCTCGTGTTATATGGAGGGGTAAATAACATTTCCTTATTTACTTTCTCCACATCAGTCATGCTTTTATAGGCCTCTACCATAGTCCCCTTTAGTTGTCTCTTCTAAAATGAATACTCCCAATTTTTTTTTAATCTCTTCTCATAAGGAAGCTGCTCCATACCCCTAATAATTTTTGTTGCTTTTCTCTGTACTTTTTCCAATTCATCTTTTCTGAGATGGGGCCATCAGAATTGTACGCAGTATTTAAAGTATGGGCATAACATGGATTTACACAGTGGCATTATGATAATTTCTGCTTTATTTTTTATCCCTTTCCTAATGGTTCCTAACTTTCTCAGCTTTTTTGATTGTCACTGCACTTGAGCAGATGTTTTCAGAGATCCATGATGACTCTAGGATCTCTTTCTTGAGTGGTAACAGCTACTTTAGACCCCATAATTTAGATGTGTAGTTGAGATTATATTTTCCAATGTGCATTACTTTGCATTATAATGAAGAGAAATACTAGATTACTGTTAGTCAAAGAGCTAAATGTAAAAATAGACAGTATTCAGTACAAGCAGCATGTTAAACCAGAATCACCCCCCCCCCCACCATAGTTCTTTTTATAAGCATTGGGTAAGATTTTCAAAAGTGCACAGTGTTGGCCTAACTTTACTATTGTTAAAATCAATGGGCATTGTACCATTGACTTAAGGGGAGCAGTCTGGTGAACACTGAGTGCTTTAAGGCCCCCCCCCCCATTATATATAACAGGGAATAATGCATTTTGAATATAATATTTAAAAGTAATTGTTTCATTCATCTGAGAGAGTAACTTGCCTCCTCTTTTTGTTGTTGTACAGGTTTAATGCTGACAGAAATACTGGGGCTTTTTGGAACTCCAAATGGTTCTTCAAAGAGCTCTATGAAATAAAGGGATGTAATTCATAAAGAAAATAAAGTACATACAATCAGTAAACTACATGGCTGACAACTTTATTAAGATAAAGGGATATGGTATAAAAAAAAATTTTTTGCTAAAGGAGCAAACCTTCAGTTTCTGAAGTTGCATCTATTTCCTTCTTCAGGAATGCTCCCACTTCTTCATCAAAACCTATTACTCCTTCTTCAGTACTGTGAGTTACAGAATAACTCTCATTCATTTCATTCTTTTCAGAATGTTTTGTTTTTGTAGATATTCTGTAAATTAGTATAACAGATCAAATTACAAAAAATAAGTGAATAATGCATTTATGTATGACATAAGTATATAGGGAGGCTATATGCTGTATGCATTCATTATTTAATAAGTTGTGCTTATTTTACCTATAACAATTGGGTTTTTTTTGTTAGTTTGACCAGTAAGTATCATCCATTTTTTTCTATCTTTGAGTTTGTGTATTGAAGTGCACGCAAATCATTAAAACTATCTGATATTTCCTATACATTGGTGAGATTTTTACATGAACTATTCTTTTTATAATTTAGTAAAAGTATGCAGTTTTGCTATGATCATAAATGCCAAATTCCAGATTGGTGTAAATTTACACAGTCAAGTTCTAAATCTCTGAAAATCAAGGTTTATAACAAAAGTACGACACAACCTTGGCTCCAGTCATGCAAACCAAGGACATGCACAAGGTAGGGGGGAGCCCAAGCATGGGCATGGGCCCACCCAATAATCAGCAAGGTCACAGAGCTCCTGTGAGCCTAGAGTGGTGGTGGGAGCTAACAGCGCCTTCCGCGCCCGGGGCCACGGCACAGAACTCCTCTAGTCCCAGAGGAGCTGTGTGTCCCCACCCCCAACAGCCCTGGGCCCAGAGAAGCTGTGGCCCCCTCTCTTTTGCTATAACAAAACCTTGGCTATAACAGCCAAATGGCTCTGATCCCCAGAGGTTTGTTATAGCGAGGGTGTCCTCATATGATGTTTTTAATGTGCCCCTCCAAAAGCGGTCAAATTTAAATTCCTGCCCATATCTCTGATGAGAACAAATGTTCAAGTCTAATATTTTTTGTTTGGATTTTTTATAAAAAAAATGAGGAATATTCACTGTTCTGTATATATTCTGAGGTAGTTTTGAGCTTCCTCAAAATTAATTATATGGTACAGCCTGTCAAATGGAATATGTCCAGACAGAAGTACATCAACACAAATAATAGATATAGACAGCAAAAACAAATAGTAATGTGTAAACTGCACAATGGAATGTGAAAGGATCTGGTTACAAAACTGATACATATTAGAACATTATAAAAAAGAACAAGTTCAGTTATATTTCAGTGGAATTATTTATTTATATCTGCATAGAAATCTCTGCTGAGTAAAGACTATAATTAACAAATAAGGATGAAATTTTGCTCCATAAGAGCATCTCCCACTACACTCCCTTGCAACCTGCCTACAACTCCAATTGCCTTAAACAATTATGAATATATATGAAAGCAGTATTTGGCTGTAAATCAAGAAGATATGATTTGTATGTAGCATGCCAATGTTTCCCGCTTAGCTGAGCAATTACATCAACTTGAGTGTTCTAGTTAAAATATTACCCTAAAACATTTTCACAAACTTCATCGTAAGCATTTACATCCTGGACAGCGTGTAGCGTTTCTGTTGATGGAGAACAGCCTGTATCCGTACTGCTTTCTTTCTGTATCTTGGATCTAGTTTCTGGTAGGGATGCAGAGTTCATTAGGTATTGATAATCTGGACTCTAATAAAACAAAACCCAAAACACACATTCAGAAGTCTTTCTAGTTAAAAACAACACCTGAATTGTAAGAATCTCTCTCCTACTTCAGATGTATGTATTGCATTTCTGCTTAACTACACATCCTTTTCTCCAGATGTAAATTTTACAGGCTGAAGGTATTACGGATTTCACACAGTTAAAAAAAAGCCCCATTTATGGTTGCCTGTGCAATCTGAGTTTTGCATCCTTTCACATCCAACCTGTGCACTGAATGAGGCAAAGAATTCTGTGCAAAACAGTATGGGACGACCATTAAATAGTCAATATATAGTCACTATCATTAATAGTATGTAATAATTAAAAATTGTTTCATACTACATACAACTGAATGGGCAGAAAAATACATTTGGTTTTGTGCATCAGAAATAAAATCAGTGCTAAATTCAAATGGTTAGTTATTACTAGAAATAACGTCAGAGGTAGAAAAAACAGTTTCAATATTGTGTATAACCAGAAGCATTCAGAAACATCTCTGGTGTCTGGAACATTCTGGTGATACCTTAGTCATCTGTGCATTATACACCATTTGTGTCAGAGGAGAAGAGACTACACAAACAAAACAATCTACTTTATCTAGAAGGGGAAAGAATGCTCAACAAAAAGAAAAAAAATCCTCATAAATCCAAAATGTGATTCAGTTATTCCCAGGGTTACCAGATAGCAACTGTGAAAAAACGGGGAGAGAGGGTGAGGGGTAATAGGCGCCTTTATAAGAAAAAGTCCCTTTAAAAATGGGACATCTGGTCACCCTAGTTACTCCTAACTTCAAAAACAACTAATTCACCCTTAATCTTGTTATTTGTTAAATTCCACAGAGATTCAACTTTGCTTAAAAATGTTCACACTTGACTCACGCTGTGAAAGAGTTTGGGAACAAGAGTTCACTGTACCTATTTACCATTTACAATTACATCAAATTATTCTTATATATATTTCCTTTTATTTTAAACCTAGAATGTCTGATTCTCACCTATCCAGTAACATCATGCAGAAATGCAAAATTAACTTTATAATAGCACTTAGCCAGTTTAAATATGTCAAATCTTAATCCTCTCTTTCAAAGCTAAATAAGCCTAGTTTCAAGTCTCTCCTCATATGAGCCTTTTCTCTTGTTGCTCTCTGCTGTACTCTTTTCAACCTTATACATTTCTTCAAACAACACGACCAAAGCTGGACACTTAAAGCCAAAATTTTCAAGCGTCTACTCATATACAATAGTATCTAGATAAATTACATAGATCTCACAACAGACGATAGAGCTATATCTACAACGCAAGTCTTCTCACCCATAAAAATACCTCACAGAAAGAACTCCAGCACTCTTGGAATGTTTATCTCTTCCTAGCAACTCCTTATAGAGAGGTTGATACTCAGTATTCTAATCTTTACCTGGAATGCAGCTAGAAGGTAAAAGTCTCAAGCATTCACATTGTGTTCAGTAATTCTGTTGCTTTAAAGACTATGTGATGCTGTTTTTTGCTATTACTAGTCACTTTGACATGGCAAATCTTTTCACTGAGATAAAATATAACCTGGTTGTCAACATTTATCTAAAATGTGTTCCTCAACAAGGTGTCGAACATATGGTATTTAGTGCTTTCCTATGAGTCAATTCGCTATCCCCTAGGATTCTGGTCCCCTCTGTCTTGTTATGGTTTTAGAAGGTAATATGTACAAGTTACAGGCATTCCTGCTGTAATTTAGGAAATTACAGAAACATACATATGAAATCTTTAACATGGATTTCAGTTACCTAAAATTGCTGTCAATCTTCCCAAGTAATGGAAATTACTCACACTTTTTTCCTATTTGTTTTACGATATTCACAGCTCTGCTCATTGTGCACCCATTTTTGCAAGGTGCTGACTACTTATGTGACACTGAACATGAATTAACATCCTTAATATTTTGAGCATGTTTAAAATACTCTTAAGCAAAAAAAACAAACCAAAACAAAAAACCTGTGTTTAGGTGACAGAATGGGGTGCAACATTTGAATATTTTAATGTCCTTTTTTCCTATGTCTGTAGAGAATTATTTTTCAACAGGCAAAAAAAGCAACCAAATAAATAAATACCCAGTCAAAATTAAGCCCATGATCCTGCAAACCACTGCTGCTACTTGGAGCTCCACTTATTTAAATAGGGTTCTGCACAGATGCCTGGGGTCCATGTGTATGGAACAACTTGCAGGATTAGTGTCTATATTAGATGAATATTTTTTAAAAAGGCATGGGAAAAAGTTAAATTATATACTGCATTTTAAAATATCTACTTTTAAATTCATGCATGTAAAAAGGAATTAAAATACACAAATGCATAATATTTTAAGTTTAATTAATTACAATCCTAGCTCTCTCTACTAAATACTTATTCAATCCCCTTACCTTAAAACTAGTGATCCTAGCTTGTGATTCATCACAATAGGGTCGTCCTAGAAGCCATAATGATGTAAGTATAGCAGCTGCTGATGTTTTCACATGCATCATTGGGCGGCTCTCTTGAAATGACTCTATTTTGTTGGTGTCATATAGCAATCTCCTATCAGACCATCTGATCATCCATTCAAGCAGTCTTGCAATATTGCTAAATTTATTCTTCAGTTCTAGACAAAGTTCCTCTCTTGGTATAACATCATTCACATGAATTGTTTTGTACATATATTTACAGGTCACTGAAGTTTGTAGACTAGAGCAAGCATGGTCAGACAAGGTCTGGGTTATGGGTGTAATAGTTATTTCTTGCTTGTTATCTTGTGCTCTGTAAACTGACAGGTGGTTTAGACCAAATAAACCTTTCTTTCCCATGTATTTTTTTACTCCATTCACTGAGTCACACAGCAAGGAGTCTGCTGGTTGTAGAACTGAAACAGACATTTGGTTTTCCAAATATTTTTTCTTTTCGTTACACAAGGAAGCTGGTTTGGAATCACAAGATGCAAGAGTAACAGCATAGCAGCAACCAGCTCTAAACACATTCTGGCTACTAGTTCTGCCCTGTCGACGTTTCAGTGTTGTATGCACATCAAAAAGGAGAGAGTGTAGTTCATGTTCTCTAAGGAGTTCAGAAAAGCTGGTCAGAAAAGGAATCCCAGGATCACTGCAGTTAAAGTCTCTTTCAAGCATGTAACTCAAAAAGAGATCTAAGAACTTAACATATTCATCATCATCACGTTCAAATTCCCATGCACCTACCACAGGCAAAGTATGTTGATTTGGCAAAACTTTACTTTGTTCTTTATGTTTTGCTTTCCAGTTAAGATATTTTATCTTATATGCAGTTTTCTTACGACCAGTTTGTTCTTCTGTGTGAGGCCGTGTCTCCCTACAATACAGCAAAACATGAAAACAGAAAAAAATCAGAAGGCTAACTCTAATACTTTCTTTAAAAAAAAAAATTAAATTCAATAAAGTATGTTAATGCAACAGTTCTCTTAATTTCTTCTCTCTTTTGTTAAATAAAAATAGGAAATTAATTGCAAAAATTCACATTAATGCAATGTAAAGGTGGCAAAATAGACAAAATGTAGTAGTCATAATTCACAAACCAATATTAACTTAGAAGTATCACAGTAACTTTTATTGCTAATAATAATTTACAATCTAAGAACAGAAAACATGAAAAAATAAATGGTAGGGTAGGAGGATCGGAGTAACTTTAAGATTGTATGGTTACTTTGGTAAATTATACAGGATAATTATTACATTTTTAGGGTGAGAGAATGGGAGTATAAGGGGAAATAAGACATTGTGCAGAGGGGATAAGGTCACAGGAATAACAAAGGACATAATAGAGGATTAAAGTATTTATGGAGGGAGGATACAGCGGGGATGAGGGACTGATGGATGATGAACAGTTAGATGACAGGGATCATGAATAGTGACAGAAACTGATGTGGGAGTCCAAAAAGCAGAGATTACATACCTGTACAGTAACTTGAGTTCTTTGAGATATTTTGTAGCTATGGGTACTCCACTGTAGGACATGCCTGTGCCCATGCACACTTGACCAGAGACTACAAAGCAGTGTTCACAGGCCCATGACTGCGCAAAGCAGCTCCTTATGCTCCTCTGTGAGGGCATACAGGGACACATGAACCCACCGCCACACAGAGGGGAAGGAGGACAGCAGATGAAGCACCCAGCGGCAGTGATCCCTCGGGGTCGAAGATGATCTCTTCCACAGGTTTTTATTTTTGTATGGTAACTGAAGGGTCCAATCCTTGAGCCGCAAACACATTGGCAAACACTGGAAGTAGGTAAGATGGTGTAATGCTTGATGAACACGTGAACAGAGGACAAGCTGCAGTCCTGCAGATGGGCATATTTTTCAATAAAGTGTCATGACCGGGTTGTGGGCAGTCTGACATAGTGGTTGGAGCGGGGGTCGGGAATCAGGAGGCAGGCCAGGTGTGGATAACAGGAGAAGGGAATCTGAGAGCCCAAGGGGGAAACCAAGAGTCAGAAGTCAGGCAGAGTAAGGTAACCAGGAGATCAGAGGGCAGAGACTGGGAGTCAGGGTCAAGAAGCAGGCCAGGTCAGAGTCAGGCAGAAGGTAGTGCAGCAGAGGCAGTCTTAAGCAGAGAAAAACCCAGCTGCACAGACAACTTCCTGTTCCTCTGATTGGTTTAAATAGAAACAGAGAACCAATAAGAACCCTTGGAGTTTTGCCAAATCAGATCCCAGGACTGAAATACTCAACTGAAGTTAAGCTTCAAGTTATAGTGACTTGACTTAGGTCACTTGAGTGGTGGGTTGGAACATACTGGCTCCTAAAAGCCCATTGGACCACGGTTTGAAACCCATGGACCTCAACGTAGGGCTATAGATGTAGACTGAGCCCTAGTGGAGTGTGCTGACACTCTTTGAGGTGGTTGTTTTCCCCCAGTCTCATAGCATGTTAAAATACAACCCGAAACCCACTTGGACAGTCTTTGTGTGGAAATAGGGTGACCCATCATCCTTCCAGTACAGGATACAATCTGGCAAAGGTCCTAAAGATCTTGGTTCTGTCTATGAAGAAGGCAAGAGCTCTTCTGACATCTAGTGTGTGCAGGCTAGCCTCTTCTCTAGAAGTACGAAGCTTTCAGTAGAACAATGATAGATGAATTTCCTGGTTAATATGGTATTCCTTCTTAAGACACCTTAAGAAGGAAGCGAGGATGGGAACATAGTGTGACTGTCTCTAGAGAAGGTCACGAATGATGGGTCTGCCATGAGTTCACTTAGTTCTCTCATTTGCCTAGCCAAAGTGATAGCGATAAGGAATGATGTCTTGAGGGAGACGTGGAGAAGAAAACAGGTAGCTGTTGGTTCAAAGGGTGTTTCTTTAAGGCAGTGGTCTCCAAACTTTTTGGATCGCACACCCCCCGGGGCCAGTTCTAGGGAGGCAAAAAGAGAAGAAGAAGAGCTGCCGCCAGTGTGCCATCAAAGAGAGTGGGGAGAGCAGAGCTGCCTCCGGTGTGCTGCCGAAGAATCAAAGGTCCAGGAGTGCTCCTCCTGCCGCACACCCCCAGGGATGGTCTTGAGCACCCCATTTTGGAGACCACTGCTTTAAGGCACTGAGCTCCAAAATAAAGTTCCACAGCGGAGCAGGATTCCATAGTGGGGGAAACAAATTGCGTAAACCCCTTAAGGAATCTGACCACAGTAGAATGGGCGAAAAAATGGAGAAGCTTTCAAAGGGTGAGTGGACGGCTGTGACAGCAGCCAGTTGAACTCTGAGTTAGCTTATTGACAGATCTTGTGTCTTTAAGTACAACAGGTAGTCTAGCATTTTGGTAAACAGAACTTCTGAGTATTGAGGGAGTGAAGAGAACACCAGGAACTCCAGCGTTTTCACTTTTGCAGATAAGTTTTGCAAGTAGTAACTTTCCTGCTACGTAAGAGGGCTGACTGGACCCTATCTGAACAGGTTATCTCTATGCCCAAGAGGCACCTGGAAGCCATGCCCTGAAGTTCAGGGGTGTTGAGATGGTTCAGGGTGCCTAAGTTCTGAGAAAGGATATCCTTCTTGAGAGGAAGGCAGAGAGGACGGTGTCACCACTGAGAGGTGAAGAAGGTTCAAATACAAAACGTGTCTTAGCCATGATGGTGCTAGGAGAATGACCTGTGTTTTCTCCTGTCTCAATCTGAGTGAGGTCGTGAGAATGAGAGGTAGAGGTGGTTAAGCATACAGCAAGAGATGGGGTTGTGGTGCTATCAGAGCATCTCCTAAGAAGTTGTGACCACATTGTCCCTTGGAGTAGAAATGGTGACAACTTCACATTTGTTGGGGGGCGGTGGGGAGGGCGGGGTAGCAAAGAGGTCCACTGATGTCAGACATAAGCTTTGACAGATGATGTTAAAGAATTGTTTTGCTCCCATTCATGGTCCTGACAGAAGTTTCTGCTCATGGAGTCCATAACTGTATTCTGGAGGCCTGGTAGATAAACCACCAAGATTTTTATCTGGTAGGAGATGAATCAGTTCCACAATTTTGGTGATAGTATACATAAGGACTGGGATCTTGCTCCCACTTGGCAGTTTATATAACATTGCTGCCCTGTTATCCAGCATTACCTGACAGAGCAGCCCTGCATGTCATGAAGAAAGTGTTGATAGACTGCTCTCAACTCCAGGACATTAATGTGGAGCATAATCTCTTGTGGGAACTGCTTGCCCCCCAATCCAAGAGGCATCCATTGTTAGGATTTTTGATAGTACAGGATGTGAGAATGGGTTTCCCACGCAGACCTTCAATGGGTCTGTCCACCACATTAGCAAGTCTACAACTTCCAGAGGTAATATTTGTTTGGAGAGACTGTCTGTCTGGGGCACTGAAGGTACTGAGGTGCAGTCTCGCACATAGAGGCTGACTTATGGTTGAGGAGTTCCAGACAGGTCCTTTCAGTTGTTTGCAGACCATGCTGTAGAGTAGATATGAGATTGGACAAAGTGGAAAATTTTTCCCTGGGCACGTAGACTCTGATAGTTTTGGAGTCTACAATGGCTCCAGTGAAGTTAGACAAAGGTTAATGTAGACTTCTTCAGGTTGACGCAAAGGACCAGAGACTGATATAGGGCTAGCACTCTGGAGGTTGCTGATTGGACCTCTAGAGCCAAGTGACCTCTGAGGAGCCAGTCATCCAGATATGGAATTACTGTGATGCCTGACTGATACAGGTGGGCCACCACCACTGAGAAGACCTTTGTAAAGACCCTTGGGGCTATGGAGAGCCCAAAGGATAGGACTTGATATTGGTAATGTTTTGAGCTTATTACAAAACATAGGAAATGCCTGTGAGAAGGATGGATACCTACATGATAGTAGTAGGCATCCCAGAGGTCAAGGGCAACGAACCACTCCCCTAGATTTAGGGCTGGTATTATGGTAGCTAGTGTAAAAATTCTGAAGTGCAGCAAAAGTACACAGGGGTTCAAGTTTCTGAGGTTGAGGATCGATCTCCATCCTCTTGGGAACTAGAAAATAGTTGGAATAGAATCCCCTTCCAATGAACTCTTGGGGAACCAGTTCTCCCCCAAGAGCAGGAGAGATTTAAAGCAAGAGGTCCACAGCTCCTTATAAAAAGGATCCCTGAAGAGGGATGGTGAAGGGAAGTGGAGATAAAGTGGAAGTGGATGATGATCACCTCCAAGTTCCATTTGTCTGAAGTAACATGTTCCCAGGCTCGGAGGAAGTGAGACAATGGTCTCCAAAGGGGGTGGGGATGGTAGAATCGTGCAGCAAAGGATCTGGAGAAATAGGTTGCTTTAGGTCCTGGACCAAGATGTCAAAACTGTTTCTTACAGGGAGATGCCAATGGTGCAGTTGTAAAAGGAGGCAATTCCATTTTCTGAGGTCTGACGCTCTTCCTCGGAAGTTCTGAAGGTCTGGGAAAGGTCTGTTGTGGGTGGTACTGTCCCATTTGGGATCTGCTAAACCATCCCTTTGTTGCAGGGACGTAAATTCCCAACAACCTTAGCATTACTATTACTGTAGGAGGGGAGACTCCAGTTATTCCAGCATGAAAAGTTCTCTGGAGAAAAAAAATCTGGATAGTGTTCCAAGACTCTAGTAGCCAGAAGTCTGGGTCGGTATCAGGGCCTGGAACATAGGTCAGTCCAATGGAGATGTGCATGGTACCAGAGAAGTCTGATGAAGAACTTCTCTGACCTCAGAGCTCTAGTTCAAGGAAGGCAATCCTATGAATCTCTATGCTGTCTATTGGAGGATTTTTCCACATGCTGCTTCGTGTGCAGTACCAATGACTCAGAACCAGATTCAGGAAGTGGGCATGATCCTGAAGAGGTAGTTTATCTCCAAAATCTGCCATTTGCCCACAGTTCAGAAAATCATATTTGGCCATCAGTGCTAGGTAGTTTGAAATAAGGAACTAGAGGCTGGCTGAGGAAAAGACCATTCTACCCATAAGATCTAACCTCTTGCCCTTCTTGTCAGGGGGGTGGAGCGTGGGTGCTGTTGCTTGGCCCGCTCCATAGCGGCCAGGATAACCAGGGAATCAGGTGGAAGATGGGAGTACAGAAACCCTTGGGCTCCAATATAGGCAACCTGGTTGATCCTGCTGATGCTGTGGTGGTGTCCATGGAGCCAGGTACCAGTGGCTCATGGGCTTAGGCAAAGAAGGGTACTGCCACGTTACTGTCAAACCTCTGGTAGTCATGCATAGTATCCAAATCCTCAGAGGAACTGGAGTCCTATACGAATGGGGGTGCCGACAGAAAGGAGTGTGCTGTAGGAACACAACCAGAGGATGGCAGATCCAATGTAGAAGGAGCCCTCTTTGCAGGTGAATGGACCGGAACATGGGGAGACCTCGTCTGTTCCAGGGCACACAGTTCATAAGGACTAGGAGCACATCCGATTCTCCTCGGTGTCTGGCACTGGTCCATGGACTGAACCGAAGCTGGTAAGAGGGCCTGCCTTGGGATCAACTATTCATGCTGTGCCGGTAGAGCTGATGGAGGAGTGATGCGTGGTTCAGGAACAGGGACTGGCAGATCCAGTTAACAAGGATTTCTTCTTGCTCTTGTGGACAAGAACTCATGGATGGTGCAATGTCTTTCTTGGATCCGGAGGAAGACTCACTACCATGCTTATGCGCATGCTTCCGTGGTTCATAGCCAGGTGCAGTGAGGGGTACTGAGCCCTGGTACTGGCAGAAACAGACTGGAACTTCACAGTAGGAGGCACACTCCTGGACTGCTCAGGCTGATGTACAGAAAGGCTCCCCAGCTAGGATTCAACCATGGTCCCATGGTGGCCTCCAGGAGGGTTGCTTAAGGCACAGGGCCCAGCCTTCCCAGGTATGGGCAGGAAAGAAGAGGCAGACACTGCACCTGGATGCAACATGGACTTCCCCCAAGCAGTACAGACAGCTTTGGTGCTTGCTGCTGAGCAAAAACGAGTGAGGGCAGGAAGCACAAATAGATAGATGGACCGATAGACACTACTACTTTGAAAAGCTCTGGCTCAGGCGGAATACAACAAGGACCATCACTCAAAGAGGGCAGCAATGGTACCATAGAGTGAGTAGAAGCCCTGTACGCATCTCTGTGCTGTCTACTGGAGGACATTTCTGCACGCTGCTTTGTGTGCAGTACTGATGACTCAGAACTATGGGGAAAAGACCTGTGGAAGGTCTGGCAGGGCTTTAAGCCTAGGGTCTTTGGCATAATTCAGAGTGCTAAAGCACCAAAATTCAGAGGGACGGCAGGAACCCTCTTTGAAGCACAACCGTCCCGGAACTAAAGAGAAATAAAATAAAAATAACCAAACTACATAAAGAAAAGGACTAATAAAATTAGCTAGATAAGAAGAGTGGGAAGCTGAGAAGAGCAGACACACAAATGCTCAGACGTGAGCCACAGGAACTGAGTGGCAATGGGTCCATGCCTCCCTATATGCCCTCGTTTGGGAGCACAAGGAGCTGCTCTGTACAGCTGTGGGATACAACAAGGACCTCCCTATATGCCCTCATTTGGGAGCACAAGGAGCTGCTCTGCACAAGTATGGGCCCACAAACGCTGCTTTTTGGTTGAGTGCACACGGGGATGCATACACTACAGTGGAGCACCCATAGGGACATATACTTGAAAAGAAGTCCAATATTGTTGATTTTCACTGACATTAGGAAGACAGCAGCTCCTGTCTGTAGGAATGTCAGGGGACAGGGCAATATGTAGGCTACCTGGAATCTGCTATCAGTTGAGTTTTAAGCCAGGGGGCTGGGAAGACAGTGGGAGCTACTGGGGCCTAGTGCCCTTGAACAGCTGCCAGTGGGTCTGGTGGATGACCAAGAGAGAAGATAATAAACCAATATTCATCTGTGATTCCCTGCTACCAATAAAACTGGCTGCTGACTGGAGCAGTATACATGTATGCATAAATAAAATGGATTAACAGCTTAATCTAATTATCACACAAAACAATTGTGTATGTGTAAGAGACAAGAAAGGTTCAGGTTCAAAAGTAGTAGTCAGACAAATCCTCTTCACTTTTTTAAAAAGTTCTTTCCCATTCCAGAGTTCCTTGCACAGGCCCACCATCACTCCCTGCCAGCACACCGTCTGCCTGGCTCTGCAAGTTTGCCCTTTCCTTCAGTCTATATTTGTTGACTGTAACAAATGCAATAATAAAGACAAGAAAAAAGGTAATAAATGGTTTCAGTTGAGTATTAAGTAGCTGGGAGGCAGGTGAAAGGTGTGGTGAAACTGTACTGAAAAACAATCTGACAGTAGCTTTATGTTTTGTTTGATTGAACTCAATTCGTTACTTTCTTAATACCTCTGAGGTGAAGGTGCTTGATTTCTTGTTTCTTCTGTAAGCAAAGCTTCAGAGAGTGTATCTGCTGCTTCAGCATCACTATATACTTGAGGATTTCCACAATCAGAGAGCGTACTTCTGCTTAGACTGGTCCCTAATGAGAATCTATCATAGCAATGTGCCTCATCATCTGGTGTCTCCTCTTCCGATGGCTCCCAGATACTCATTTCAATGGGACCTATGTTCCTTATTACACGTTTCAGTGCTTTCAGCCTCACTTTGTGGGTGGCCTGGATAACAACAGACATCATTTCTTCACTTTTGGATCCTAACCAAAGGAAAAAAAAGAGAGAGGGGACGAAGAGATGGGATTTTGAGTGTGGAGTCCATACATTTCACATTCTCTAAGATTAGCAGGACATAAATCAATCATAAAGTATATTCCAACTTATATCCAGAACAAAGATGAAGTTATTTAGTATTTGGGACTCTACTTATGCAGTAGGTCTTTAGAATAATTTTTACTTAATTACAACTTGTAAATGTATATAGCTATAAAGAAATGTAGGCTGTTTTGATTCATGTAGTTACTATTTATTTTCTAACTGAAGAAACACCATCACTTTCAAAATTGCATGTCTGCCAGAAACACTTCTATCTACTTTTGGTTCAAGTCACAATTAAGATTACTAGAACCTAAAGAGATTAGAAGAAAAATCTCTATTCTTCCCCATTGTCAAGTTTGCTTACACTATGACAGCACTCTGTGGACAATCAGTTTATTTCCTCTATAGAAGTAGTCCATCAGACTGTTTCCCTGGTTACGTTTCATATATTTGAGAAAAATACACTCAAGAACAAGTTTTCAACACAGAACCCAAAATTGTACATGCAAAATATGAGTGGCAGACACAAACAGGTAACTGTTTATGCAAAACAGGTAATATTCAAAATGACAAATGCATACAAAATATACAATGCATACCAAAAATGAGTAATTGCCTTTGAACTCCCATTCATTCTTGAAAAGCTAATGAATTTACAATTTTTGTAAAATCTAATGAATATTAGCTGTCAATGATGCAGTGAATTAGAGGTTAAGCATCCTACAAGAAACCAATTCTAGTCCCAATTCTGATGTTGACTCACTGTGCAGCTTTAAATGAGAAAGTCACTTAACATTTCTGAATTTCTGTAAAATAGAAATAAAATTAATAATAATATTTTACCTACCATCTCTTAGGGACATTAGTTAATGGCTGTACATTTAAAAATGTAAAGCAATAGTTAAGTGCTATCAAAGGAACCTTTTACAGCTTTGTAATTAATTTATTTAGTATGCTGCCCTAAAAATCACTGAATCATCAAATTTTAGGGATGGAATATGGCTCTGGAAGACTCAGGGGACTAGAATAGACACCAAAAGATATTATCACCTGTTAACTTATACAAAATTAACAGATCTCAGTCCAGTTCCTTGTACACTGGATCCACACCAAAAACAAAAAGTTGAGTAGTCTCAACTATAGAGACCAAGTCTCAAATAATCATATTTATTTAATGTTTCGGCCATAGTGGGTATGCATGAGCACCACGCATGAGAGTTCGGAAATATTTAGTAAGCAGCATCCATTGGTCTGTGCATGCGCTGTTGTTCTCCTCATGCTCTGAACTGATGGTGTAAGGGGCAATGTGGATCAATGCCTCTTCAGTTCCTTCTCTTATGAATGCAGTCATGATCCACAGCAATAGGAATAGAATGTGGGTAGTGGCATGGGCAGCAGGTGAAGCTTCTTCTGGAGAGACTAGCTCCCTGTCCTGCCTCTTCTGCCTGCAGCCCTGCCCACACTTTACCCACCACTCCGTGCCCCACGCCGCCACTCTCCATGTTCCTCCTCTCCTCCACCCCCTGCCCCCCGCGAGGCTCCCATCACTCCCCACATCCCTCCTCTTCTCCACCCACACACCCCGCCACATACGAGGCCTGGGCGGGGGAGGTGGAGGTGGAGTGGACAAAAAAAGAGGGACTCACCAGGCAGCAGCGGGGCATCAGGAAAGGGGCAGAATAGGGACAGGAAGACGCAAAGCACAGCCGAGGCCACCACGACCCAGGCGTCCAGCAGTGGGGCGGCAGCGGCTGCACCAGGAGAGATTTAACTTCCCCATGCCTATTATACCCTCCACCTATGGGGAGTGGAACGCAGATAATGACCTCACATCTCAAATAACCTCCAGTTACAGATGAGTAACCTTCATTTCTTCTTCGAGTGAGGGTCCCTATATATATTCCACACATGGGAGATTAGTGAGCAGAAGTCAATCAGGAGGGGACATGAGGAGATGGGTGCTATGGATATCTCTAATACTGCCGTCCCCACAGCTGTTTTTGCAGTGGTAGTCTGCAATATGTAAAGGTGTGGACGGAATTCACGCTAGCCACCCTGCATATATCTATTAAAGATAGTCTCACAGAGATGTCAGAGAGATCACTTGTGCTCCGATGTAACAGGCTCCCACTCCCTCTGGGGGTGGGATGTGTGCTAGTTGGTAATAAAGGATGATGCAGCCTGACATCCACTTGGAGAGTCACTGTGTGGACAGTGGTTGACCCACTGATCGCTCTTCAGGGTGATAAATAGTCTAGGAGTCTTTCTAGTTGCTTTCATTCTCTAGATAGAATGGCAGTGCCAACCAGACATTTAGGGAGTGATGTCTTCTCTCCTCATCAGAAGCATGTGATTTTAGGGGGAAAACTGGTAAGTGATTCATGTGAAACTCCAAAATTACTTTAGTGATAAATACCATTTGGAGGCACAGAGAGACGCTTTATGAAAAATGGTATATGATGGATCTGCCATGGAAGCTCTCAGTTCGCTTACCCTTCTGGCTGATGTGATGGCAACTCAGAAGGCAACCTTCATCCACAGATGGGACATAGAACAGGTAGCTAATGGTTTGAAGGGCGGTCTGGTGAGAACTGAAAGGTCAAGATTGAGATTTCAGTGTGGTATTGGATATACCACTGGTTGGAAAGTTCTAATATATCCCTTCAGGAATCTACCTGTCACTGGATAACTATCCACTATCATTGGAGGAAAGACGCGATGGCCCTCATCTGGAGAATAAAAAGCATTGATTGCTGTGAACTAGACGTGTAGGGAACTCAGAGAAACCTAACATCTTAAGGGTAAGTAATTAATCTAAAATAATAGGAATTTCAGCAGACTATAGAAATAACTGGTGCTGTTGTGACCAAGGGGAGAAAGGCTTCCATTTAGCCAAAAAGCATCTCCTAGTAGAATTCTTCCCGCTTTAGGTTAGGACAAATTGGATCACTACTGAGCATGAGCACCCTATGGCCAATGCCCTTCCAAATACCAGGCATTGAATTGTAGTGGTCCCCATTTGGAGTACCTGATTATACTGTTGTGTTACATCAGTAGATCCAGAAATGGTCAGATGTTGAAGTCTGAGAACCAAAACCGTTTTGGCCAGTTGGGTGCAATGAGGATGATCCAAATCTTGTTGTCTCAAATATTTCACAGGACTTGTTCTGTTAATGGAATGGGAGGGTTGCCATATCTGAGGTGGTCCATCCAGGCTAGCAAAAGGGCATCACCCCTTGAGCCTTGTCCCAGAACTGCTCTGGAGCAGTACAGAGGTAGTTTCTTATTCACTTGTGAGGTGAAGAGGTCCCATGATGGCATTCCCCACTGGGTGAAGATGTTGTTCAAGACAGAACTGTGAATCTCCCATTCATGGTGTGTGGAAAAATGTCTGCTAAGACTCTCTGCTAGGGAGTTCTACACACTGGCAGGTATGCCAGCAAAAAGATTATGTGGTTTCTGATACACCAATTCCACAGATTGACTGTCTTAACACACAGGGGAAAAGATCTTGCTCCCTCCTTTTGTTCATGTAAACGACAGTCATTATATTGTCTGACATTACCTGGACATGTTGGAACAGATGAGAGAAAGGAACAGATTGCAGGCCCAACACACTGTCCTTAATTCCACAAAGTTGATATACTTCCTGGCCTCCCAATGGATCCAAGTGCCTTGTGCAGTGTGATTGTCCATATGGGCTCCCCAACCTAAGAGGGAAGCATCTGTAATGATAGACACTTTGGGTGTTAGGAAAGGAACTCCAACCTGAACCTTCTCCGGGTTTGCTCACCAGGAGACAAACTGTAATCTTGGCCGGAAATGTTACTCTGGCACTGATGTTATCTTTATATGGTGAGTAGACAGACTGAAACCAGGTTTATGCAGTGGAGATGGATCCTGGCAAATGGTGTTATATAGGTGCATAAGGCCACATGCCCTAGAACGGACAGATAGATCCTGACTGTAGTCCAAGGTCAGAGGGTGATCTGTTTTATCAATTAGTTCATAGCACAGAATCTCTCCATTGGGAGACAGGCTCTTGCAGTAGTTGAATCCAGGGTCCCCCCTACACAATCATAGTCTTTGTGGGACTGAAAGTGGATGTTTTATGGTTGACGCAGATTTCCAGGGAAGACAGTAGGTGGAGTAGGAACAGGGTTGCTACTGGACTTCCCTGCTGGATCTGCCCATCAGGAGCCAGTCGTCGAGACATGGAAAGATAGGAAGCCATTTCTTCTAATCTAAACCACTGCCACTTAAAGGATTTTTGTAAAGACCCTAGTGCTGTAGCTAGTTCAAATGGGAGGACTATGAATTGATAATGGTCTTTCCAAAAGACAAATGTGAGGAACTTTCACATATTGTGCAGTACGGAGCCGTGTAGCTCCCACTTGTGGTTGACTGAACTGTCTGCCGAGGGAATCTGCTAATGTGATTTGCTTCCCTGGAAAGTAGGTGCCAATACAGTGATCTGATTGCTGATATACCAGTTCCACAGGCTGACTGCTTCTGCACACACACAGAGGCAGATTCTCACTTCCTCTTGTTTGTTGATCTATAACAGTCATAACGTTGTCAGACATTATAAGGACATGGTGAGCGCAGATGAACGGGAGAAAGTACTCACGTACCTACCATACTGCTTGCAACTCCAGGATATTGATGCGCATCTTGGCCTCCAAGATGTCCAGGCACCTTGTGTTGTGTGGCAGTTCATGTGGGCTCCCCAACCTAATAGGGATGCATCCATAATGATGGTACTGTCCAGAGAGGGAATGAGAAAGGGATATACCTGACAAGGATTTGTACAGCACAGTAGGGAAGTTAGTAACTTGGCTAGAATTGTCACCAGGAGGTTCATGGAATGACAGCTTGGGGAATATACCAATTGCAGCCAAGCTTGAAGGTAACAAAAATGGAGTCCTGCAAATGGGATGACATAGGTGCACAAGACCATATGACTTAGGAGCTGAGGTAAAAGCAAGCCAGTCCAGTCTGGTACAGCGTACTGGCAAGAGCCGGTTCAGAGCCAACCACACCGGCAGGGGGAGTTTCTCCAGGCTGCCAATTTCAGAGGGCCCTGGGCTCCCGGCAGCGGCCAGAGCCTCTGGTCCTTTAAATGGCCGCCAGAGCCTCAGGGCTCCTGGCCACAGCTACCTCTACCATGAGGCTCTGGCGGTGATTTAAAGGGCCCAAGGCTCCCGACGCCACTACCACACAGCTCCGGCAGTGATATAAAGGGCCCGGGGATTTAAAGGCCCTGCCCCTTCTGGTTTAGCGCGCGCGCACACACACACACACACACACCCTCCCTCTTGCTCAGAACCCCAGCCCTGCGTATTAGTAAGTCCCTTAAATTACTTTCACCCCTGCCTAGGGGAGACAGATATGTCTTGACTGGCACTCAAGGGTTGCTTGTGACATGAGCTATAATTTTGTTTATGGTCTGGAACCTGTCCTTGGGCAGGTAAACTCTTCCAGTGATAGCATTAAGGTGGCCCCAATGAAATCCAGAGATTACGTGGGGGTGAGAACAGATTTTTCTATGTTTATGCTGACTGTCACTGAACAGACAAGGTGTAGCATCCTGGAAGTTGACACACAAGCTTCCTGGTGGGATTTCGCACCCTAGAGGTAGGGGAAGACAATAAGATCACAACGTCTGATGTGGGCTGCTTCTACTAAGAATATCTTGATAAAGACTCTGGAGGCAGTCACTATTATGAAGGGGAGTACTCTGCACTGAAAATGGCCAGAGCCTACCATGAATCTGAGAAAGCATTGTGGGCGGGATGAATGTCTATGAAAGTAGGTGTCCTTCATATTGAGAGCTGTGAACCACATGCCCATTTCTAAAGATGGAATTATCACTGCCAATGTGACCATTCAAAATCTGAGTTTGTGAATGAAGCAGTTGAGATGGCAGAGGTTGAGGATTGGTCTCCAACCACCTTTCTTTTTGGGCATAAGAAAGCAAGTTGAGTAAAACCCTCTTTCTTGGTAGTACAGAGGGACATGTTCTATCCTTGCTGCAGTAAGGAGTTCACCTCACGTGAGAATACTCTCATAAGAATGGTCTCATGAGAGTGGTGAGGAGGAGGGTTTTGGAGGAGGTAGGGATGCAATCTATCATCTAGCCAGAGTAGATTATGTTCAGCAACCACTTGACCATTATCGCACTCCAGGTGTTGAAAAAGACTGCTAGATGACCCCCAAATAGTGTGTGGGAGTCAGGAGGTGTTGGGCTTAGTGCTTCTTAGCTCTCAAACTCCCATGAAAAATAAGCTCTTGGGGATTGAGATGCCAAGACTGTTGCAGACGGCATAAGGAATCAGGACTTTTGAACCCCCTGTCTCTTACATGGTGGTTCATAAGGCCTCTGATGGAAGAACTACTGAGCTGTATATTTAGATTTGGCCCATGGGCAATGAAACTTCCTCTTAGGGGCAGGCATGGATATCCTCAGCAAATGTAGGGTAGCCCTGGTATCCTTCAGGATATGGAGGGACTCAGTCTTCTGATTGAAAAGTGCAATTCATTGAAGGTGGGGGGAGGTCCTTGATAGTATTCTGGATCTCCCTATGGAACCTTGATGCATGGAGCCATGACTCCTTGCGCATGATGATGTCAGTATCCATAGCTCTAGAGAAGGCATCAGCGGCATCAGCTGCAGATTGGAGGGCAATCCTCACTATCAGTTTGCCCTCGCCAATCAGAACTTGAAAAAAAAACCCTCTGTCCCATTGCGGAAGGCTGTCAGTAAATGACACAAACTTGGCATAGGTCAGGAAATCTTATTTAGCCAGTAGCACCTGGTAATTGCCTATCCTGAGCTGGAGGCTGGATGATAAGATCTTTCTTCCCAGCACATCTAGGTGTTTGTCCTCTTTGCCAGCAGGAGCAAACCAGAGATGTTGCTCTCTAGCTCTTTCAGAAGCAGCATGGACCACAGGTTAATTGAGATTGGGATAAGAAAACAAAAATTCCACATCCTTGGCTGGCACATAATAATGCTTCTCCGGCCTTTTGCGAGTAGAGACGGGGTGTGCCAAACTGTTCTACTTGGTTCCAGTATGCCTTCATTAATGGGGAGAGCTGTTCTGTTGGGCCCAAAAGCATGCAGGATGTCTAGAAGTTTGTGCTGGGAGTCTTGGATCTTCTCAAGGGGATCTGAAGCTCTGCAGCAACTCTGTGGAGAAGGTTCCAGAACTGCCTGAAGTCACTGGCAGGAGAAGGGGATTTAGAAGTCACCACTTGATCCAGTTATGACAATAGCAGTCTTGCTGGTTCTGATGGAGCTGCCGGATCTGGAGCATAATATTCCTTTTCCTCTGTCAGCTCTGGGAGCAGATCTAAGCATCCCCGTAGAGGGGAGGCAAGGGGTGACTTCCTGACAGATTGGATTGATACTGCAGGGGTCCCAAGCCCCCCCAATATATTCCGTAGCAGAGGCTGACAGGTGGTTGCAGAGGCCCCCATGTCAAGGGGTATCAGCAGCTCTAAGTTAGATGAGGTGGAGGCTGGTTTCAAACTTGTGTGGGTCTTTTGGGCAGCGAAGGATATGTAGGGCACTAGAATTGGACTGGATGTGTATTTTGTATATGAGAGGGGTGATAAGCTCCTTCCAGCAATCAATTCTCTCAGAGGTGATATCTCCCTGGAAAGAGAGGGGCCCAATCGAGGAAGGGATCCCACAGCCAGAAGAGCAAAAATGTCCTGTCGGGTGCTAATAGGTTCATATCTCCCTAGTGTGAGAGGAGTTCAGCCTGTCTGCGTCATTGGAGCTGGTGAGGACGATAGTATCTGAAGTCAGTGATGATCAGACTTTCTTGGTGCTGATGGTTCCCAGGGTTTGGGAGGAGCTAGGGATGACGGTACCAATGGAACATGGTCTGGTACCAACAGAGCCCAATGCTTATGGGCTTTCTTCTCATGCCTCTGGGGCTTAGAACATACCAAGTCCTCATAAGCCAAGCTGGAAGGCTTGCTTACAAGTGAGTCCAACTTCTTTGATGTGGACTTTGAGAAAGACTGAGTCTCATGTTTATGAGAGTGCTTCCCAGCTTCCCAACACTGCACTGGTTGTGGGGATAAATTCTCCCACACCAAAATGAGACTTCAGAGCAGCAGGTGTGACACATGTCTTACGAACTTCACAATAAGCAACCACCTGCCTCTATCAGGACACACTCCACATGAGCGCTCTCAACCTCCATTGCATTCCTCAATAATGTTCCCATAATAGATGTATGCAGGGCTGCCACATGGGCGTCCTCTGATAAATTATCCTGCAAGATGGCATAATGTTGGGCTTCTTCGACGGACACCATCCTTGGACATATGATCCTATCCTCGGCGATAACAGCCGCTCTGAAGCCCCAACCCTCCAGCTAGGGGCAGTGCTTTATAATCACCTACAATGAAGCACCTATAGGGACATCACTCAAAGAAGAGGAGAGGGTTACTAACCTTATGCAGCAACTGAGGTTCTTTGAGATGTGCTCAACTACCCCCCTCTGCTTCGGAGTGTAACATTTGGGCTCTGCAGCAGAGAAGGAACTGAGGGCGGTCAGACTGCACAGTGCTATTTATACTACCCACACACAGCACAGAGACATAAGCTTCACCAAGGCAGTAAAGGCAACGTTGGTGTTCGTTGCTCAGTCAAAAGGAGTAGGGGCATAAAACGCAATTCTTAATACCCAAGACTCTGAGCACAGACCCTGTCCTTGGTGAGAGCTTCCCCAAGACGGGAAGAGAACTAACTAAGTTCTAAAGGCTATAAATCTAAGAGTGAAATGCTAAAATATTAATAACTATTTAAAATTTATATATTTAAAGATTGAAGCAATGATAGAAGTTGTGGACAAAAGAGTCCAACTTAGGCCATGAGGCACCAAGAAGGAACTGGAGAGGCATCGGCCTGCACTACTTATACTTGTACTCTAATTTCAGAGCATGAGAAATAAAACTGCATATGTGCAGAGCAATGAACACTGCTTACTAAAAATCTCTGAACTAAGGTGCATGCTTCACATGTGTACCTATGTGTGGAATACACGTACGGACCATCACTCAAAGAAAAACACTAAGTTTAAATTAGGTGCTTTTAAAGGATGGATATTGAACTTGAGTTCTAAATATGAAATAAGGCAAGCTTGTAGTCCTTCATCTGGAGTAATATCTTTTGCCATTATTTGTAAGGATAATTCTTAAAAACCACCAACAAAAAAATTTGAAAGTGTTAGTGTTTATATGCAGTACTGTAAAAATTGATTTAATTATTCTGCCATCATACCAAAAAAGTTTTTTTTTGTTTTAAACATTACAGAATAATGGAATAGTACTTTCCTTCTACTGTTCTTATGCAGCACCTTTCAATTCATGATATCTGAAAGTGTTTATAAATATAAAATAAGGAGATGAATACTGATAGCCCAACGATCACGTACACAAAATGAGCAGCCATTAACTCAACGATAGCTCAAACCTTGGTAGAATTTTCAAAAGAGTTCAGTGTTTGGCTAACACTGCTCCCACTGAAGTTGATAGGAGTTTTACCATTGACTTCAGTGGAAGAAAAGTCAAACCAACACCGAGCTCTTTTGAAAATTCCAGCCTTGAACTTGATTTGTTGGCAAGAACACTACAGTTCTCATTTCAAAAGCACCATGATATCCATAGCTTCTACCTAGACAAAAGCCAATAATTCAATGTCTCATCTAAAGAAATGTTAGCAGTATTATTGTTCATAAGAAAACCCAAAAAGCAATGAAGTCACTAAGCCCGTTTTATATTCCCTGAGGAAGAATGTACATTACCTCTGACAGTACAGTGTCTAAGTCGCTGCTGAAGAGCATGATATTTATCCCTTAATGGAACTCTTACATCTTCAGAATTAGGAAATGCTTTCACCAAAATTTCTGCCACCTGTACAAAATATATCAGTTTCAGGGTTAATTTTGATGGAAAAAAGTTATAGCAAAACTCCCAGCAAAACTTGTATTATTCATAGCTCTAAAAATAACATTTGCAAGAAAGCTAAAACCTTGTCATTCTCAATATCTTTTGTGGTTTTAGCTTCTTTTACCTTTCTGATTGGTGGTAATTCTCCAACAAGGCTCAGAATTATATCTTGAACAAGTTCTTCAACATTCATAAACCTAGCAAAAGGGAGCATTCGACAAGCCCATTCCACTGCATTGAGACAATGCTCAACTATAGAGGCATCATATTCAGCCTTCTTGCAGTCCTAAAAAATAAATGGTCAGATATATATTAATTGATATACATGAAAAATTCCAGCTAGACTATATACTTCTTGGCAATTTTCATGATTTAATCTGGTCCTCAGCTCCAGTGAGGGAGCGGGGTTGGGGCTTGCCCCGCTCCACGCAACTCCCAGAAAGCAGCCCGCATGACCCTCCCTCTGGCTCCTACGTAGTACACAGAGGCGTGGCCAGACAGCTCTGCGCACTGCCCCGTCCACAGGTGTCACCCCCGAGCTCCCATTGGCTGTAGTTCCTGGCCAACGGGAGCTGCAGGGGAGGCACCTGAGGATGGGGCAGTGGGCAGAGCCCCCTGGCTATGCTTCTGAGCTGGAGGGGGGGACATGCTTCTGGGAGCTGCTTGCAGTAAGAGCCACCCAGAGCCCCCCCACCCCACCCCAATCCCCTGCCACAGCCCTGATTCCCCTCCTGCCCTCCAAACCCCTTATCCCCAGCCCCACCCCAGAGCCCTCATCCCCCCGGCACCCCAAAACCTCATTTCTGGCCCCACCCCAGAGCCTGCACCCCCAGCCGGAGCATTCACCCCCACCCCCAATTTTGTGAGAATTTATGGCCTGCAATGCAATTTCCATACCCCAATGTGGCCCTCAGGCCAAAAAGTTTGCCCACCCCATCCTAGTTTCTTTGAGCATTAAGACCTAACCTATATTAATTTCATGTACCAGATTAGCTTCATGGACTGGTAAAACAAGGAATTTTGGATATTTTTCAACCCATCTGTGATATACATGTTTAATGAGTTCATTAAATATAGGTAATAAAAAAAGCATGGAATGTATTATTGTAATTGCTACAAAAATGCAGAAAATGCTATATTTCTTGTGATGTATGTCTCTAATTCAAATTAGAAATAAACTAAGGTCCCAGGAAAAATAACATTACTAACATTTTTAAAGATGTACAGCATAATAGACATGGACAGCATTTTTTCTTGGTAACATATATTACTAGTATAATTACAGCAAGATGTCTCATGAGATTACAGTATCCTAGAGTAACATTTTGTACTACTGAGTGAAATGGAGTTCTTTCAAGGAGGTCATAAAAAGTGTACAACAAATCTCCAGAGATCATTTTATGGGAGAAAGGTTACATATCTTAGAGTAACTGGAGTTTTTTCAGATGAGTGGTCCTTGTCTGTAGCCCACGGTGGATGCACGTGCGCTTCATGCACCTGACATTGAAAGATTCTTAGTAGCAAGGTCTGTTGGTCTGTGCCCCTCTCCTCCTCATACTCCAAAGAAAGGGCATAAGGGACGTCATGAACCGATTGCTTCTCCAGTTACTTTTCTACCATGAACAGCCCTAGGATAAGACTCCACCGCATAGGGGAAGAAGAGAGGGTGGGTAGAAGGTCATAGTTCGGGACCACACATCTCAAAGAACTCCAGTTACTGTAAGGTAAGTAACCTTTCTTTCTTCGAATGATGGTTCCTATGACTGTGAGTGACTCACAAGCAGGATTCATTGAAAAGGTTGACGCAAGAACCCTGGCTGTATCACTGACTGAAGGACTGCTCTGCCAAACTATACATCAGCTGAAGAAGCTTGCATCAGAGCATAATGTCTGGTGAAAGTCTGAACAGAGCCCCACTCTACGGATTTCCAGGAAAGGAACATCTCATAGCAAGGCGACCAATGCAGACTGGGCTCTCGTCAATTGGCCCCCAACATTTTGTCTGGTAGGAGTCACCATTAATTCATAACAGAGCAAGATGCAGCCCAAAATTTGGAAAGTCGCTCAGAAGAAATCACTTTCCCTCAGTTATGTTCCATAAAGGATACAAATTTAGATAATTTCATAAAAGGTTTAGTCCTTTGTAGGCTCGACAAACAACTAGAGTGTGCAGCTGCCTATCTCAGTGGTGGCATATGGCTTTGGGAAGAAGACAGGTAAGTGAATGGCCTTTTTTAGGTGGAATTCTGAGACTACTTTAGGGGTGAATTTTGAATGTAATCTCAGGAAAACTTTGCTTTTGTGGAAGATAGTGTAAAATGAATTGGCCATGGAGGCCCCCAGCTATCTACTCCTCTAGCTGATGGGATGGTAACCAGAAAGGCAATCTGCCTTAGAGGTGGACTAAGAAACAAAGTTAAGTGTGTCTGTATGCTGATAGGACTTGACTGAGGTCCCATGTTGGGGTAGACTTCATCATCAGAGGAAAGGTTCTACTATTACGGTCACGCTACCCCAAATGACTCATAGCCATGAGTGCCAACCTCAGGACAGACTGTCAAAAAGCAGGGCACATATCCCAAACTGGTTGTATGTTCTATAATTAGATCTCATCAACCCAGTAACAAATGTGAACTCCTGAAGTACTATAACAATCTTACCGTGGAGTCACAGACAGCCCTCTTGGACATTCCAATCTATCTTGCCACCGAGGCAAACTGGACTAAGTGATAAACACTTACTTGCACCAAAGATCACAAAATATTCAGATTGTTCCCAGTCCCAAGAGACTTATACCAAGTCAATATGTAATCCAGATCTCACACCAAAGACAATGCTTATACCCAAATCCTACAGTAAACCAACTAAGGATTTATTAACTAGGGGAAAAGACAGAGTTATTTACAGGTTAAAGAAGGCAACACATATACCCAAATGAGTTACAGCCTACAGTTCCAAAAGGTGACAGAGCTGTAGTAAATCATCAGCATTGAATATCTTTTAGGGCTAACCCAGGTTGACCCTAGTGATCTCTGCTTCTGTTTTGTAGTTCCAGCCCTGTGAGAGTCCAAACAGCCAAAGAGCAAAGTTTCTCCTTGTCAGGTATTTTTATTCCCTCCACCCCAGAGCCCAAACTGATGGGATAAGCTCAGGAGTAGGTCTCTCCTTCCCGGAGGGAGTTAGAAATGCATTCAACAGGGCCTCTGTCCTTTGATGCTATACAATTCCTTATTTGCCTTCAACGGGCTATCTTGTATTCAGGACAAGCACTTTATCTTAATTAATGCTTATTTTCCTGTTTGGTGAGTTATGCAATTACAGAAGTATACAATGCAAATACTCAATAACTTTATACATTAGGCTTTAGAGGTTATAAGGCCAATGCATGCAGCATCCTACAAGCATTTCATACAGACTAAACACATTCTTATCAACTTAACATCTAATATCTATTTCAATAATGCACACAGCTAAGCAAGACTGGTTTCCAGCTATGCATTTGTAAGTGTTCAGTCAGGCCTGAGGCCTTGGCATGAGCTGGCACCTGGTCTGCCGGCATCACAGACAGCTTCTAGAAAATGTACTGTACACAGAATGGGTGAAGATCAAGTGGTTGGTTACAGGCACTGATAACTGCTAAATCCACCCATAGGGAACAAAAAGATAGTTGTGAAATCTTTAAGGAAAAAGTCCAAAATGACAGGGATGCCAATATCCTGATGACATCTGACGCTGTTGGAATCAGACAGAAAACCTTTTTCATTTTGCTGTGTGGCACTTCTTTATGGAATTCTTCCTATTGGGTTGAGTTTTTCATGTGTGGATCCCAGGTGGTGTTGGTGGCCTGTGATATACAGGAGGTCAGACTAGATCTGGTACTCCCTTCTGGCCTTATACTCTGTGACTCAATTATTGTTAAGAATGGATTGTGCTGCTTCCCAGAATGTCTTTTCTAGGTTGGTCATCCACCAAAATAGCAGACTGCGATGTGGAGAGATGCCAGATTGGGATATCTGATCTTGTCTCTGTCCTGTGGTCAACAGGTCCAGGAAGAGCAGGATATGGATGCCCAGGCATGGTGATATTTATAAAACGCTTGGAAACCACAACTGTCTGCACCATCCAGGAGCAATCAGGATCACCAACATTCCCTCCCTCTTGCTTGATCTTCCTCAGAACCTCAGCTAAAAGCAGAATGCGTGGGAAGGCATGTCATTTGCCCCAATCATAGAACTAGAAATGCGGCCCCTCTGGAGCCCTGACCTTGAGTCCCCCGGAACAGTCATTTGTTCATTTCTTGTTCTCTTGTGGGAAGAGTCTCTCCAGCCCTCTCAAGAATCTGACCGTTATGTAATGGGAAAACACCGTCTGTCCATGGATCAGCGAGTGAAAAGCAGAGATGGCAGCAAGATGCACTGTAATGGAAGAGTGTGTGCCCGGCACTGGTTCCTCAAATGGAGCAGGCAGTCCAGCTCCTGTAAGGAAAAACGCAAGAGACAGATGCCCCATTTGGATGCCCAGCGGGAAAACCTTGTCTACTTGGCCAGGTAAGTCAGTCTAGTTGAGGGCTTCCTACTTTCCAGGAGAACCTTTGGACTCCTTCCAAACAGATCCACTCCTCCAGGTTCAGCCACGCAGCATCCATGCAGAGAGGTGGAGGGACCCAAGATTAGGGTGTAAGAGCCAACCATGGTCCTGCAATAGCCGGTCTGGTTGGTTGGGCAGAGTCCAGAGAGGGGCCGCTGACAGGCTCACGAGCGTGCCAAATCAATGCTGGCGAGGCCACGCCAGAGTGATCATAACCTGTGCCTGGTCCCTCTTGATCTTTGCCAGCGCCCTGCCAATGAGTGGAATCAGAGGGAATGCGTACATCAGGCTCCCTGACCACGACAGGACGACGGGATCGGAGAGGGAGTCTTTGCTCAGACCCTGTTAGAGAAAAAAAACTGGTGGCATTTCCTGTTCTGTCTTGCAGCAAACAGGTCCACTTAGGGAGTTCCCTATCTTTGGAAGATCATGCAGGCTACCTCTGCATGAAGTGACCACTTATGGTGAAAGGAGAAGTCCCTGCTGAGCTGGTCTGCCAGCGTATTCCTGATGCCGGGAAGGTGACAATCTTCCAGGTATATTTCGTAGCTGATGCAGAAGTCCCAAGATGGAGGACTTCCTTACAGAGAGCCGACGAGCATGCGCCCCCTTGCCTACTGATGTAGAACATCGAAGCCGTATTGTCCGTCATGACTCGTATCACCTTGCCCGACTGGTGGAGCAAGACTCCACATGCCA